TTGGAGAACGATTTGTATTCGTGGAGGATCAGTTGTAATAAAATAGTTTATTTATCAATGGAATTAATTATTCTGAGGTTTCAATTATTGGATTATCATTTTAGTTTTCATTTCAGCAAATTTTATTTATCTCATTTGTTTTAATTGTATTCTGTGTTCGATTATTGCTAATTGATTTGATATCCTCGGGTTATCGGGCATGGGCCTGACCAACCCGCATCCGGAAATTCGGGGATATCACAGTTGGTATCAGAGCAACATGCTTAAAGAACTGAAAATTGAAACGAGACATGTAGAAATTGTAACCGTTTTGATTTCAACACAACCAGATCATTAATATAACATATATTAAACATGTAAATTCCAGTTACTGATTGATTAAACCCTAGAGATTATCTAGGTGCACAGAACACGAGCCAAAGAGAAGGAGAAAGAGAAGAACTTGCCTGTAGTTTTGGTCTCAAAACTGTTTTGTTGTCTTCCTAATTTCCGGCAACCACTGACCATCTTCAAGCCTCCTATGGTTTTGGTTTAAGCCACCACAACTCTCCCTTGGCCCTCTCTATTCTCCTCCTAAGTTTTGTTCTATTTTCTCTCGCTCAGTTCTCTCAAAACTCTCTGTATTTTCACTGTGCCGTGAATAGGGTTATCAAACCCTAGGGACGTATAAGTTATATATTTATAACTAATTCTAACCCCAAAGTCCATAAAACCCTAAACTTAAAACCCAATTAATTATGTGGGCAAGCCCATAAAAATACTAAAACCCTAAAAGATAATTCATACACTTAATCTAATTAAACAGTTACGTTCATGCAAGAAAATAATTAATAATACAATTAAAGTAACTACAACAACCAAAAATACAATTAATTTAATTAAAATATATTTAACCAAATAAGGCAATTCAAATACAAGACTAACAGTTTAAAACAAATAAAACAATTAAACATTTAAACAACTAGTCACATAAAAATACAATAAAGATAATTGAAATTCCAATTTTATCCTTTTTAAAATTAGGGGTATTACAACAATCTTCCCACTTCTCAAGGTTGTCACCGCATTGACATGCTCTATTGTGTGACCTTCCGATGAGGAATGAATCTCCACAACACATTATTGCTTTAGTGGGGCATTCAAAGGCATTTTCCCTTTCTCTCTAGCATTTAAAGTGCTAGCTATTTGCCCTACTTGGGTTTCTAACTTTGCAATGGATTAAGAATAAGAATGAAACAATTGAGTGTTAGCCCCTAAAGTGCCTAAAGCGGTTAAAACTTTTTCTTCAAAAGCGGGACTTCTATAATTTCCTTGAGAATAAGATGGTTGATTAGGAAAATGAGAATTAGAGAATTGATTTTCTTGTGATTGAAATGATCTAAATCCTTGGAAACCTTGGCTTTGCATTGGAGGTGGAATGTATTTCCCTTGGAAACTGCCTTGGGGAGGGTTTGACCCTTCCCCTTGGTTTTTCCAAGAAAAGTTCGGATGATTCCTCCAACTTGGATTGTAATGATTGCCATAAGGATTGTTCCCTTGATTAACAAATGTTGCATTGACTTGTTCATGATGCTCATTTTGCACATGTCCATGGGGACAATTGGAAGTAGAATGTAAAACACTTGAACAAGTCATACATGTCTCATTAGATGCATGATGGGAATGGTTAAGGATGGAAGATACTTGATTTGCCGAGTTTTGGTTGATCCAGAATTGATCAAACCTTTGAGATAAGGATTTCATCTCGGCGGCTATTTCATTGGAATGGTAGACTTGATGTAAGCCAACACTCTTCCTTCACTGTTTTAATGAGTAAAGATTGGATCTTTGGATGAAAATACCTCAATCAAGGTACCTTTTAAGTCACTGGAGCTTTTTTGTAGAGACCGGTTCCTTTTTCCAATTTTTTTTATTTTCTTTTTTCGTTCTTTGTCGCTGACAGTGTTCCTCTTATAAAATATAAAACTTATCACATTGTGATTGTTTTACTCAGCAACTTGTACATTTACATTTGACTCCGTTAAGCAACTTTTTTAACTTTTACCTTTACTTAACTTTTTAACTTTTACATTTACTTTTACTCCAACTACTTGCTTTTCAAATAAATAATAAATGTTACAAGATTGTCTTGCTTTTATTTCAAAATACCATCCTACCCTCATATAAATACATAAATGGCCTATATTTTACAACCCTATATAACAATTATAACTGTGTCCCGTCCAACTTTTGGACCCTTTTTAGCCGAGTCCCCGTATCCAATAATTTCAAAGATGAAAGGATATGACTTCTAGACACACACCCGTATCCAAGTCCGTGTAACATAGTTCTGGTCTACAGCCTAATCTCTCCAAAAAAAATCTTTATTCTGTTCAGGGATTGATGAGCCAGTGGTTAAACAATTACTGACAGCAATTCAGTTTCAAAGAGCAAAATTACCCGTTAGATACCTTAGTGTGCCTCTACTTTCTGGAAAACTCAAGTCAGAATAGGGCTAAGTCTTGGAGCAGTAGGTATCTGTCTTTTGCTGGTAGAATGCAAGTTATCTCTGCTGTTTTATTTTCCATACAACTTTATTGTGTTTCAGTGTTTAAACTTCCCAAGAGAATTTTAAAGAAGATAAATGAGATCCTCAGAAAATTCTTATGGAAAGGCTCTAGTCTTGAGGCAGGGGGAAATAAGACATGATCTACATTCCTAAAAAAGAGGGTGGGTTGGGAATCAAGAACTTGGAAGACTGGAATAAAGCTGCTATGACCAGGCATATTTGGAACCTAATTCAACCTCAATCTGATTCTTTACAGATTCAATGGGTGAAAAATCAGAGAAATGGTGAATATAAATAAGGAGTTGGAGGGTTCAGTAAAATGGCTCTCTGCAAATGGTGAATTTACAATCAAATTTTCCTGGGATAAATTCAGGAACTGAGCTGCAAAGCTTCCTTGGTCTGACATTATATGGTTCTCAGGACATAATCCTCGGAACTTTTTCATAGCCTGGCTTGTCATGCAAAATAAGCTGCTGACTCAGAAAAGAATGATAAATATGGTCCTAACTAACACTGCAAACCGTGTATTTTGCAGAACACATGATGAAGATAGGAACCATCTATTTTTTTAATGTGATTTTTCTGGGAGGATATGGTCTTTTATCTCAAACAAATGTGCTTTGAATTGGCCCAATTTCCACCGGTCAGATCTTATTAATTGGCAGACATAGCTGATAGCCCTAAAAGGTAAATCACTGATTGCTGTCATCAACAGGTTGGCTTTTACTACTGTTAACAAACCATCTACTCTGAAAGCTTAAGCTGTTAGAGACGGTATAACTTAAATATTTAAATCCTTCAGCACACCCCCTCAAGTGTGGCCTTCTTTTCGTCCAACACGTGTTTCAATTTTAGATTAGGGTGACGGTGCGGTTTGAACACAGGACCTACCCTGCTATTATACCATTTTAACAACCATATACTCCAAAGGCTTAAGCTGTTAGAGAGGGTGTAACTTTAATATTTAAACCATTCACAACTACTACTGTATATGCACCATGGAGGGAAAGAAATGAGAGAATATACACAATTATTTACAAAGATGCTCCGTTCATACAGAAGAGTATAATGGAATCAGTTAGATTGAGAACAGCCTTTTTAAAAAGGGTAGAAAATGATGCTGCAAGCAGATGGATATTTAGTGAATGGGGTATACCAGATCAGTTTTTGCTTTAAAGATGATGATTATTCTAATGCAAATATTGGTGATTTCTAACATCATTTGCTGCTACATATTAGACTGCTATTCCTGTTTGCGTATGGACAGTATTTGCTACCTGTTTTATGTTAAATATAAGTAAGCAGCAGAAGTTTTTGTGTACATCTAAGAAGCACGGAAAAGGATACAGGACACGGATATGACACGACAAGGACACAGCAACACGGCAAATCCTAAAAAATTAGGACACGGACACGGCGGGGACACGGTGAATTAATAATAAATATATATTTATATATATTTATATATACATATATATGATGTTTTAATTTTATTTTTTATCAACCTAATAATGAAAAAAAAAAAATTGTGCTATACTGTGAAAAAGAAAGAATGATAGAAAGAGGGTTAAGAAAGAGATGAAAACAAAAAAAAAAAACAAAGATGATTACGGTTTTGTTAGAAAAAGAGTTAGGGCTTAGTTAGTAAGAATCCATGGAAGAGAATAAGTACATGGAAACAAGAAGAAAAAGAGATACAAAAAGAATTTTGTTGTGCAATGAAAAACCAAGAAGTATCTAGGGTTTGTGAAGAATAGGGGCTTGTCCCTAGTGTCTTCCTGCTGCTCCTGCTTGTTGATTGTAGCTGGTTTTTTACTTTGGTATATTTGTTGTAATCACTCTGGAGAATTAGCTGTTGTAACTATCAATTCTGGAATTGATATAGTTGTCTACTGTAACTATTGTTGTGCAGTTTGTTATGTTATTGTGGTTAGTAGGGAGGTTTTTGTTGTATTTTTGTATTGCTATCCCCTGTTTTGGTTTCTTAATGTGTGGTCGATTTGGGGGTTCCACATAGTGTGTTATGTTCCTTGAGGTATGCCACAAGTAAATTGTAAGACATTTTTTTTTTCCCTAAATGATTGGAAATTTTTTATAAATATGGCAATAGAGTACAATTACAAAAGAGGATAAACCTCACAACCTACCCACCTTTAAGAGAAAGGAAGGAAGACACTAGGGACAAGCCCCTATCCTTGAAAATTGTAAGACATTTTTACCAACTTGTTTTGTGGAAATGATTAGGCACTACTTGCCTACCCAAAAAAAGCACTGGAAACATAGTTGCACAGTGTAGAAAATAATGAAATGTCAAAATGATCACTGTTCATTTTAGAATTTAAAGGCAAATAATTCACTCTCAATTAAAACCTTAAAATCATGAAGGATCATACGGTTCATACCTACAAGGCGATGAAAAACTTAATTTTATTACATAGTAATAATATCATACCTTAGTTTTCATAGTAAGTGCTTCCTGTAAAATCATTGCCAATTGTCGTATGAAAACAAAGGCATGCTGATATGCTGCTGGAAGGTCCACCCCAATGAGTTCAGTGACACAATTCCCAAGAAACTGAATGTGCTGTAATTTTGTTGCATTCACAGATTTGCAGCTCATGACGTAGGTTTTGTACATCCCTTTGAAGCACTCATCTATGCAATCAGAACCAAGCCGAACGCACAAGTCTCTTATAAATAAAAAGGAGACAACTGGGAGTGCACCTCCCCCTGTACCCCAGAAATGAAAAGCAACCTGACAAGGCCAAAATTTTGTTTTTTATTACCAATTTATACATAAACAAAAAAATTCTACTGACTTCTACAAACTAAACTGCATGGCAGGAATAAAATGCATGCCCATAAATTATTCCACTATAAATTGTTAAAATTAAGACTGTTCAAGCAATTTGATTTTGGCAGTAGAGATCTCTGCAAAATGCATTGACAGTAGTGATCTCTGCAAAATGCATTGACAGAAGGGTCCAGGACCACTTCCTGCAATCGCATATGAATTACAGTAAAAGTAGAAGCCTTGGTCCACTAGTGGAGGCTGTGGAGCAATAAACAAATAAATTGTACAGGTTCAGGTTAAACACAACAAATAAAAAGAATCTGTGCCTCATATATGTCCATTCAGCATATTGAAAGACAATGCTTTTCCTAGAAAAGCAACATAAATTACCTGTATCAACTAAAACACTGCAACTGAATCCAAATATTTAAAAACTCTGATTACCTTAATATACTTCCTTAAGAAGCTAGGAAAAGCAGCCAAAAATATAGTTGAATATCTTAGACGCCGCAATGTAAATGATATCATCTCTGTGTCAGTCATTTGGTTTAAAACATGTAAAGAATTTCCGAAATATGATTTCACCAAGTGGTTGTATTTCTTCCACTGTTTTGTGTTCATCAGATCTACTATCATCTCCTTCTTTCCTCCAGAAGGTGGCAGTTTCAACAATCCTCGAAGAATTCCATCCATTTCGTTTAAAACGGATAACATTACTTTATTGAAGACACTGCTAGACATGACACTAAACTTCGTTGAAGAGTCATTCTCATCATCATCATCACCATAATGGCAGGCAATGCGAAAAGCTTTCAAAAGAGATCGAATTGCACCTACTTTTCCATTTTCTTGAATTGAATTGCACCATGAATCAACCATCGCACTAGTTATAACATTTTTAGAAGATTTCTCTTCCTTTTTTGCAGTCTTGGCTAGGAATTTCACATCATGTGTATCAGTTTCTTCATCCTTATCCTCTTGCGTCTCTTCATCACCCATGTCAGTTTCAACATTCTCCTGCACAATATGAAACAAACATTTAAGAGCCATTCAAATAACTAAAAATTAAGAGGCCATTCCGACTAGCATACCGATTACAAGCATTAAGAAGCTGCATACTCACATCAATATCTTCATCATCGAATTCCAAAAGCTCCTTGTCATGCTCTTTCAAGAATTGATAGAACTCTGGGTCCTACAACAACAACAGAAAAAAAATTAAAAAAATAAAAATAAATAAAAACTTCTCAACAATTGTTGGACAAAGCAATTGAATATCAAACAGTTTTAGCAGTTTCATTTGATTAAAAAGTGTTCCTCCAAGGTAAAACAAATATGAATTCTTTTATATATATATATTACATTAACCACCACTATGTTAAACCAAAAATTCAAAAATCAAGCAGCTTAAGTGTAAGTATTACACTGTGCAATGGGACCACTATTTCATAAATATTCAATGACCGTTGAAATTTCATGCTATTAATAATTTTATTCGTCAGTCAGATGCAATTGCAAAATTTCTTCTTTAATTATTGTATTATTTTTATAAGGTTGATCTTGTCCTTTGATCATCTTAGAATTTTTGTTCTGTTTTTCAGTTACAGTGCACCCGGAAGGTTCTCATAACTTATCATGGAAAATTCAGCCTTATTCACTTATATTTTATTTTTCACTTTGAAGTTAGAAGACAAACGCGTAACTGCATATGCATACAACTAATAAATTTTGGACAATCTTCCTGCCCAACAATTGCATAACAGAAGAAAAGACTTTAAAATATATATATATATCTATATATATATATATATATATATCACAAGCAAAATTTCTTCTTTAATTATTGTATTATTTTTATAAGGTTGATCTTGTCCTTTGATCATCTTAGAATTTTTGTTCTGTTTTTCAGTTACAGTGCACCCGGAAGGTTCTCATAACTTATCATGGAAAATTCAGCCTTATTCACTTATATTTTATTTTTCACTTTGAAGTTAGAAGACAAACGCGTAACTGCATATGCATACAACTAATAAATTTTGGACAATCTTCCTGCCCAACAATTGCATAACAGAAGAAAAGACTTTAAAATATATATATATATATATATATATATATATATATATATATATATATATATCACAAGTAAGACATCTATGTAGTTTGCAAGTAATATGGCAATACAAAATTAGGAAATCACTAAATATAATGGGTCTGTGTTTGCTTGAACTTTCGGCAAAAACAAAAGTAAATAAAAAAATTATCGCCAACCATTGATAAGCATATTTACAGGTTCGCTAAAGCTATCAGGCCCGTGCCACCATATTCATAGGCATCCGATGATCTCTCACCAAGCAAATACCAAAGTCAATGCTATGTTAACCCATGGAAGTTTCTCTGCCATCCTCAATCCCTCCATTATATATATATGTGTGTGTGCGCCCGCGCATGTATAACCACTAACCTTTTCTTGAAGTCTCTGCAATTGGTGAATGTGCTGTGTCGCATTTCCCTTTGACTTGGACAACGGAGTAGTTAAATTGTCTTCACCCAACTCTTCACTAGCAATTTCATTTTTCAGCTTCTTGACTGATAACGGCATCGACAAATCAATAAAATTAGCCAAATCATTCATACAGAGTAAAGCCAGGAAGAAAGTAAAGCACAAACAACAAAGAGAACATAAAACCCTAACCCTAATTGAAAAGATTAGGAGGGAAGAAGAGAAGCAAACCTTTGCCCTTCGCACCCATGGTGATTGTACGAAGCTGAAGCTTCTCCTGCAACTGCTAAAAACCCTACTAGTTGGTTTACGGATGTGGGCCGATTTGGGCCAGAAATGAAGATCAAGGTGGCCCAAGGATGGGCCATCAATTAAGTGTTCTGTCGATACATGGACCAGCCCAATAACCACCTAAAATAAGAAAAATCAATATCCAATGCAAAAGATAAAAAAATGAAACTTAGTAAGGGCCTAAAAAGTAGATGGGCAGTGGCTGTTTTATTTTAAAAAGCCAAACATGGATGGGTTGCATTGGTTTGGACTGGGTTTAGTTTTCTTTATTTGTCGGAAGGCTTGGGCTGGGCTTAGTTGTGAACTACGAAAAATAAATGACTTTAAAAAAAACATTGTTTGTGGTGCGCTTGAAATTATATTTATCAAATAATAAAATTATATACGAATGTTCTCGAACTCAAAACGACCATATAAACAAGTCTCTTACCAAATGTGTTTAGGAACTAACGAGTAAAGCTGTTGTTTATTAATCGAGTTCGTAAATTTTGCTCAAAGTTTGGTTTGTTTACTTAGATAAATGGACACGAGTCGAGCCCGAGTCGGAACTATACACAAATTGAAATTCGGTTAAGAGAAAACCTGAAATGATTATATATATATATATATATATATCCTTGAAATTTGTATGATTTCATTTTAAAGTATATTAACATGATTTGTTTATGACGTGTACTCAAATGAACTATCATAAGATGTATTTCATCACGATAGTCTTATTTTTATTTTCTCTTTTTTATTATTGGTGTTTGGGAAAAATAAACCTAACTTACTTTGATCAGCGGTCAGACCTCTTCGGTAATCAATGATAATATTTCATTATTAGAGGTAACGATTTCCGTGAATAAAAATGATGACAAATCTCATCAAGGATAAGATCTCTATGGGATAAGTTTCATGTGATAAGGATGATGAAATTCCCTTATCAATTATCAAGAATAAGGGAAGCGACGATAAATAGGACGACGATTCGGGAATAAGATACGACGAAAAAATTATTATTAAATCACTGCCTTCCTTTTTAGACCTCCGGTGACTAACTTGATCGTCGGAGAGCTCTTGGCAAACACCACACCGGTGCTGTGAAGGTTCATCGATTTTTTCATCTTTTCCTTGCAGATAAACGGTGTTGTATCGAACCGTGCGGATTTCACCCTCAACAATTGGTATTTGGATAACTATGCAAAATATATATATATATATATATATTTATTTATTTATTTATTTATTTATTTATTTATTTTGGAGAAAATATCTAGCATTTATCATTCCCTTTTGCTTCTTCCCCAATTTGTAAGTATAGAGAAAATATATTTTTATTTCAATAGAAAAATATATTTACACAATTTTTTTCCCAATTAGGCTAATATTCACTCGAGGAAAGGTTATACCAGCTACTCAATAATATATTTCCTTTTCTGTTACTTCAAGTTTTTTTTTAGACTTCATTTGGCTAGCGTGAAGTAACGAGAAAGAAAAAGCAACCGAAAATTTTTAATTCTGTTGAGAGTTTAGTTAGACACAAAGATTTTTTTTTTTTTTTTTTTTTAAGGAAAATAGGATTCCTGGCATTAATTTTATTGTCCAAAATATGGTCTAACTATACCCCATATTATAGTATTATTTATTTAAATATTATCTGAAAATATAATGTGTATATATATATAATTATTATAATAATCTATATATATAATTTCTTATAATATATAGTTTAATATAATATAATAAAACTATAAAATAAAAGAACCTGATTAAAAGTTGAGGCTATAATTTGATTTTATATCCTTAAGACAAATTTGTCCCGTTGTGGTGCTAACGGACTCAGTGGCGTCTATCTCCCAGGATACAACGACTTGTCTTTCTTCAGTAGTAGCACTGCAAACCAAAAGAAAAGGCGAACTGGCTTAGTGTAGTACTCTCTGACTCGAACTCAGACTCGAAGTCATTGACTAAGGCTCGAACCCAAATACTAGAGCTCGAACCCATAAACTAAAGAGAGAAGGCTGAATTTTGGTGTGATTTACAAATTATCCAAAGGGGGGTATTTATAGGTAGCAAGGTACTTTTCAGGTGGGTGCAACCATGGGTTATTATGGTTCAGAAAAAGGTACAACCCTTTGGAAAAAAAACTAAAAAGTGGTTTTTTAATTTAAATTCAAAAAACTAATTTTAATTTAAATTCGAATACCAACCACCCATTTGTGAAACCCATTTAAATAAGCCCAGCCCAAAAACAGGCCCAATCCAAAATTCCAAAAAAGAATAACCAGACTTTACAATTAGGCCCAAGCCTAAGCTTGACTTATTTAAACTTCAATTGGTTTCAACATTTTTTTCCATTTAGACTTATCAAACACCTCACTTTGGATCTAATATCTTATTCACTCGAAAACGGATTTGAGAAAGTAAATATACCATATTCATTTCCTTGTGAAGAGGAACGCGTTCGTTTATAAATTTTGTAAAAAATTCTTAGCGGAATCTATTCCAATTCTAATCCAAAATTTATATTTTTAATACCCCGTTTCCAACAAATTTTTCACAAAACATTTCTTGCATAAAACACAAAAAATTGTACTTTCTTGCCAAAGTACTTTTATATGTTAGTTTCCTATTCAACCCCAAGTCAATTTGTCCATCTAGTTGTTTACGTGTTAAGTACCGACTAAAAATCAAACACTTAACCATTTCTCAATCTACAAATCAAGGACAATCCTCAATTAACGATCATTCGGAACACAAAACTTGTAACCACGACAAAAGAAAATAAATAATAATAATAATAATAATAATTATAATCTATATTTTACTATTTCTTTGCTAAAATAAATTATTAAATATAAAAAGTATTCATATAAAACAAATTTATTAAAAAAAAATTGTATTTGAAATAAGAAGGGTATTTTGATAAGTAGAATCATTTTCTTTTCATTTTCATGTTATTCAAATTAACAAAATAATATTTTCTCACAACTTTCTTCAAAAAAATTCTTACTAACCAAATGCATGATAAAAGCTTGATTTTCCTTTCTTTCACTTCACTTTCTTTTACTTTCACTTTTATCAAATATTTTTCATTATCCTTTCAGTCCTTAATTATTTTGAAACCAAAGATGATTTAAGCCATATCTCCTTTTCTGTTCCTTTAAATTCTTTCAATATAAATTTAAGCCTTGTTTGTTTAAACATTTTGGATCTAGAATCTGTTACAATATTGTAACGACCCAGTCATTTGCATTCCTTTCCTTTTTCCTGAAATTTTACAAATAAATTTTTTTCGTTTAATTTTCTTTTCTGAGCTCTGTTTCATGTCGCTTAGTGTCATCTCGAGTGCTCAGAATTGGTTTCTGAGACTCTTTCATGTGAATTGACAACTTCCTTTGAGGACCGAGTCATTTTCGCATTTTTCGTTTTTCGGACACTATGCGTTATTTCGTCTTTTCCCTATTCTGTCATTTTCCCTATTTCGTCTTATCTCCGTTTGTCAGTTTTTGGCACAATCTCACTTCTCATGCTCGGAGTTGGTTTTTGACTTCACGTGCCTTCATTTTGAGTGGTTTCCTCGAAATATGTATCTTTACTTTTGCAAGAAAGTACTCTGGTCGCTCCTAGTGTCCACAGGGGCATAGATGCACAATTCTTCAGAATCATTTTCATTTTTTGGGGTATTTTTCGTAAATATCTTTTGAAGATATTTTATTTCAGGGGCATCTAAGAAAATATCTTTTGGAAGATATTTTCATTTTGGGGCAATTTCGCAGTTAACCCTTTTTGTAGGGGCCATTGTGCAATTAACGAAAGTTATTGCAAAAATGTCTCGTCTGGAGTCTGGATCCTCGTACGGGATTCATTTTCACTTTTCGTTGACTCGTAAATTCATAAAATTTCCTTCTGGTCATTTTTCTCCAGTTTCAGAGTTTCTGGACCCGGTTGTCGCCAAACTTGTTCGGGCATAACTTTCTGCTCGGGACTCAATTTTTGACACCGTTTCTTCCGTTGTTCATATTTTCTTATTTTAAATCTTTTTTGTTCACGGAGTTTTGCCATTTGAGCGCGTTTGCTCAAAATCCACTTTTCCGGACCTGGCGGGGCACTTTTTGAGATTTCTATAAATATGTTACCCTAATTTTTAAAATCAGATTTTCAGACCTTCTTCCTCCTCTTGGCTGGCAGCCATGGGAGCCCAAGGGGCTGCCTTCACTCTTTCTTCTCCTCCACTTGATTTCCTTGGTAGAAATCCTTCGGTCTTAGCATTTGTTGTTTGTCTCGTCGTTCTCTACCATTACCCCTTATTAGAAACCATTTTTGGCCAAGTTTTGAGTTTGGATTTGAGGCCAAGTTTGGATTTTCATGGGGCTTCTTGGGTATTCATATAGATCGTGTTGTCCCCGACAAAACCCTTCGGTTTCGGTGGATTCGGAACACTTTTTTTTCGGTGAGCCTTTGAAGTTTTCATCTCAAATTGAGGTAAGAGGTGTTATAGGTTTAATTCTTGTTATATAACATGCTATTGATACTTATACAACTTGATTGCATGCTTAAATATGAAATCTAAAGATTTTATTATTTAATTTTCTTGTATTGGATTTGATTTTCCCGATTGCTTATGACTTGTTTTAAACATGTAGCATGGTAATATAATACTCTATAATACGGTCATTGACATATATTAAATTGAGGGAATTTGAACAAATATTAAAGATTTTATTTAATATTTATCTTAGGTGAAAGATTAATTCACATGACCTTAACTAACTTAAAATCAATATGTGTTAGCATATTAAATTAGGCCTTAGCATGCTCTCCAACATAGTTGAATTTGAAAGTGATTGGAGGTGTTTTGAAAGTTAGTAATTATTAATTAATTTAATTAATTAATTTGCCCCGATTGCACTATTCACTCTATTTGAATTCCGACTTAATATTCTTGATTTACATGCCATATAACTTCACATATATTTGATTTAGAATATTCGGTTAGGTTTTGAAACCTTTTATTTAAT